GGAGGCTATATTGCGGTCCATCCGAACTCTCCCAGTGAAACCTGCATCTCGCAGTTGTAGCTGAGGCGGTCTGCCAACGGGTTCACTCAACGAGGAGGCTCAGAGCGCAACTCATTTCATAAGCCCGAATCGTTTTGGGACTTAGGGTTGAGGGCTTGCTTTAAAAGGGATGGATGCTGTTGGGGACCCTAGGTATGTATAGGGCTGAAGAAGATGTTTCCCGACTATTCGCTGGGCTATTCTATTGTGACATCTGTTCAGGGGGAGGTCATTCGCAATGGTATTCCTTCCATGCTGGTCCTGCTCCTTTCAATTCTACCAGAAAAACTACTCTGTATCATGGAGGGTCGGTGTGGTGTTTGTCTAGACGCTGATTCCGAAATGCTTTTCATTCAGGATTTGCAAGTGTTCTAAATTGGCCCGTGTATTGGTACCTTGATGGGATTTTTGTCAGGAGAGACAGGGGGGGCTTGGATTTTGGTGACTACATGGCTTATAGGGGTTATCAACCCACTTACTACGTCCCCATGACCCTCCAAGTATGGTACGCGCTGTTTTGGATTGGGTTCCCGGGTAAACGTCCTGTTGAAGCCCTTAACTTCCTAAACCAACCACGTCTAGAAAGCTTCACAGTCTCAACCTTAAGCCCTACGTAGGATTTGGAGGCTTAAGTTTTAGGACTGAAACTTTGCGCCGGTTTCCGTAGGCTCCTGTTGAACTGCACTGACTGTCCAAGAATTTTTGGTGCGTTTTATCGGTCCATCGAAGAAGTTGCAACCGCCAGAGGGCGTTCCCCTCGTACGTTTGGGTTTAACATTCTTGAATTAAGATCCACGGCATTACCATTTGTCACTAACGCCATGCCGTAACTCACAAAGCAAACCTACAAACCCTCTTAATTTGAGGCCCCTGTTCTGTTTCATGTTTGTACATGCTGGTTTTCTCCTACACTCCCGAGTACAACCGAATGCTCCCCACAGTACCCTATTGCTGTGAAGGAGCCAACTTGAAACGCGGGAATCGGCTTGGTGTAGTCCCTTAATTTTTCAAGAAATCCATGAAACTCCTACTTCAGCAGCAAGCCATAACGAACCACTTTATCCTTTGCTTTCCATCTAATTTTCCATTTTCTTTGATTCTCCACTATTGCCAGGCAGTTGCATGGCAACCGAATGAGGCCAGCTGGTGTACGGGACTATTTGTAGTAATACGGACACAGCTGGGAAACCTAAACCCTGAACCCTAACCCTACGAACATTGGATGTGTGAGGGTTTGAATTACCTCAAGCAAGCAGTCTCGCACGACCACACCAAAGATGTAGCTGTTTAGGCTAAGTAAAGACTATTCCCTGATCTCCGGGCGTGATTTTGGGCAAGCGGGCCCAGACTGCGGCAGGGCATCCAGCCTCCGAAAGAAGTTCAAAACGCAGGCAAAGCAAGAAGGATGAGTGATGACGGAAGCCTCACTGAAACATTCTCAGCATGCCCTAGGCACATCATTCCACTGAGAAAAGAGAAATCAAGCCTTTCAGCGGAAGCCACACAGTTCCCACAGATCTTATTGTTGTCATTTTTCATATTAAGAAGCTCTGAATGAGCCTTGATGATGTGATGGTGCTGGTGTTTCTTTTCGTGGTCGTGGTCGTCGTGGCGCTGGAGCTGGCTGTGTCCTGGTGCAGGTGATGATGCTGGTGCCGGAGCCGGTGGTGGCGGCGGGCGGAGCTGCTGCTGCTGCTGTTGTTGGTGGTGCTGGTGGTTGTTGTCGTGGTCGTGGTGCCCATGGTGGTCAAGGTCAAGGTCGGTGGTCGTCTGCTTTGCATCGACTGGCTTGCAGGTTCGCCGTTTTCAGCAAGCGGCTGAAGCGCGGGTGGGGCCCTGCCAACAGCTCCGGCTTCCGTTTGCGGATTCTTTGTAGAGAATGAAGGACTGGAATGTATTGCTATGCTCAAGCCTACAATAGACGCAATAAAACCCAGTCCTATGGGGGTCAACAAATTTCGGGATTACGCGTGTTGCTGAGGGCCACATGGCTGTAGCTTGCTGTGCACATGAATTTCTCAAACCGCGGAACTTGATATCTCCACTGGGACAACGAGGCCCACAAAACAATTTTGGGATTACATAGGAGCGCACGCACATTTTGAGGATGAGCATGTAGTGACTCAACCCTGAGGCGCCTGACCTCTTGCCTGGACAAGGGCAATGTCAAACTCGCACGCAAGGAGGCAGCAAGCTGGTGTTTCCAAAATGGGCTCCTTTTACGTTCCCCAAGCTATTGCAGTTCTTGTGATAGGGCCATCAAAAAACGAGACCCCTAATTTTAGAAGCTCATTGTCCTAATCACGTTGCGATGGGCTTCACTTCCTTGCACAGGCAGAGATGGCGGCAATCTGCGAGCTGTTTGGCAAGGCCTGGAGTGAGTCAGTAGAGAAGTCGTAGCATCGCCTGACGAGAGATGCATGTCGATGGTAGCGGCGGCAAGTGGTTTCGTTGAGCCTGTTGTCCCTTGTAGCCGCTTCAGAGCAAGCAGGGCCTATCCCGATTCAAATGCAGCAACTGGGTTTCCAAAATGCCTAGCGCCTTGATAGACAGCCACTGCCACGTGTGCCCCGTAAACTATCGCCAAACAAGCCTGCAGAAATGCGAGCCAACATTGCCCAACTTAAACTGCGCACCATAAATGTCAAACCCCCAGAATGTACCCACCATCGCGTCTAATATTCGGCAACACACCTTGAAAAGTCTAAAGTAGCCATGCCACATTTTCTTACGGAAAGCGGGCTTGACCCTGAACAAGAAATCCTGTAGGGCTTCAGGTTGTAATGTAGGGCTTGGGGTGTTCATCGTTTACAGACGACAAGTCCTAGCCCTCACGGACAAATCCTAGGCGCTAACCCCAATAACTTAAATTCAACACCTAAATTCCCCCGTTAAAGGTCAGAATTCCGTATGCCAGTTCTTCCAGGCCCCTCCGCAGCTGTGCCAGTCTCCCCACGCCGGGGCCATGCTGCAGCGCCTTGCCATACAATGAGCACTGTTTGTTCTTCAATTGGGTTTCTGAAAAGGGGTCGCACCTAAAACCGATGCTCTTGAGCCACATCGATCCCTTCTTTCTTACGTCGTGTCTGACTGAGCACCAGCTCGGCAACTTAACTTGCCTTAGTCCCGCCACCATGCAAAGTAAAGTTTTTGTTGTGGCCTTACTTCATTAACAGGACATGAAGAGCTTGTGAGCAGTTCTTTGGAATGAGGTACCCTAAACTGACTCGGGAAATCTAGCTTGCCTGCCTTCCTTGGGGTGCGCATTTTGTTGTGCAGGTTCTGCTTGCTTATCTCGGTCGATGATGCCTGCTTCTTGCAGGACTTCTCCAAACAATCCCTATATCACCCCCAGTAGAGACCCATAGTCCCTACCAGGTTTTCGTAAATTCTTGCCAAGCCGCAAGTATGGGACATGATAGGTCCGGATTTCATGGATGGCATTTTTTGTTCAGAGTGTTCTGCATCTTGTCAGGGGGTCGCTTGACAAGTCACGCGTTTTTAAATGCTACAGCAATTAACACAATGAATGCAGCCTGCTTACACATTTCAGGGATACAGCAAGGCCAAGTCAACTTCGAACGGCCAGCTCTACGTGTCAACCTCACCTGCAACATCTCCGCACCTCCAGCGCTACTGCCTTTAAAACATCGTTGATGCAAATATGATGTTGCCACACCGCAGCCCCCAACCTCACGGGCGTCGACCAGCAAAGTACCCCCGTCGCAAGTCCAGTCACAACCTTTCTGAAGCCAGAAGGGAAAGTAAAATCCAAATACTCAGTCTCGCAAACGCTGCGGAAAGCCTGTGCTGGATGTTGCTGTATGGAAGTCCAGCCCCACCTCCTGCTCCCAAAACAATATTGGCTCTCATTAACTAAACATTACCCAACAAGTTGCCTTCAAGCGTGTGTGGAAAAAGCCGGAACATAAGACAAATTTATCAAAAGTTACATTACAAGTAGCTTTGAAATCGATAACGATAAATCGACGAAATTTTGAAGGTGCTCCGCGCGGGAGCGCGACTTTTGAAGATATAAAGACGATAAAAAATATCGAGTTGTCTCGAGCGGGAGCGCGATTTTGAGTATGAGGATGTCCCGCACGGTAGCGCGATTTTCGAGAATCGGGGCGCGATCTGTTCGGTTACACTATAGCAAGACTACTTTAAAGTTGTACTTCGAGGGGTGGGGTGACCACGCCAGGCAGTTGGTGGAGCACTGCCGGGTGAGGGAGCCACCGTGATCTCGTCCCATAATTCCTTTCCCACCTCTAGCTTGCCTTATCGTTTGAGATTAGAAAGCTGGAGACCCTGCCTTGGGGCATGCCACCGGCGGTGCATCCTCTGGTGCTTTAAAGTGCTTGGATTGGGTCACGGCGAAGCAACTGATTTGCGTGGCTGTCATGCTTGGTCGAGCGATTCACGGGGAGTGGGCCAGCCTTGGTGTGCAACGCCGTTGCGCAGAAAGAGAGCGCAGAGGTGCGGAGTTCGTTTTGGAGGGACCATGCCCAGTCCCTGGCCTCCACTTCCGTTGGCGATGTTGTCTTATCGTGGACAGGAGAAAGCACGACAGCTGGGAACTGGTGTCCTGGCGAGGAATGCAAGTCTTGCCATGTCCTGAGAACCTTCGGGAGGAGATGCAGAGCAACCTCCCGAAGGTTGGAACGTGCCTGCGCATGCTGACAGAGCTGCCAACCAAGGATCGTGTCGAATGCTCCCTCAGCGCGCTCGCGGCCATTACAGAACCCGAAGCTGGTCTTCAGGTTATGGGCATCAGCTCGGTCAGGTCGGGGACAGGATGAGTGAGTTCTGGACTGCTGCGGTTCTTGCAAGAGAACTTGTCCTTGCCAGGCCAGACTGTGGCAAGCGGCATAAGGTTTTTGTTTTGTGTTTATGGTCAGTAGTTGAGGTGACTTACGCAATGGTTTCGATTCAGGTGTTCTTTGCTTTGTTCGCTGCAGGTCCACCCGGATGCAATGCATGTCAAGCGCGTGGCTCTGCGCATCACGTTCACGGGCAGCCATTGCCAGCGCAGCATGGTCTTGTGTCACGAACAGGTGGTCGCCGCTCTGCGATCCTGTGCAGACACGACGCCGCGTCGGAGTTACGCCTGCCAGCCGGGCAGTTCCATTGGCCCGGCGCGGGGTCTCCGGCGGCCGTCATGAAAGACGTGCAGACCGACCGCAATTTGGCGGTCCTGTCCGTTTGGAGCCGCCGCAGTGCAGGCTGTTCTCGTGTTCAATGAGTTGGGGCTCCAGGACGGGGGCTTTGTGCACGGTGGAGACCAGCAGAGCGCGCTGCGATTGAGGCAATTTGGCCGACTGCTTCCTGTCCTCCAAAGTTGAGGTCACGGGTATGCCGTTTCGCACATCATCGTGCAGCACGCCGGCGGCCAATCTGCGGTGAGCTGGATTTCGCACGGTCACGAGGGTGACGCGCGCCAAGCGGTCTTGATGATGACCAACGTGCCGAACGAGTGTTCCTTGGCATGCTGAAGTTGCTCCGGCGGCGCGAGATAGCGTCCGCGAGTACTATCTCCAGCGTGCCCGGCGCCAGAAGGCGGCCCAGGAGCTGTCCTTTGATTCCAAAACCACGCCGGTGAAGAGGCTTAGGACTGTGAGAGATCGCTTGCCGACGCCCTTGCGGAACAGCAAGGCGTGGTTGCGACCTGTTTCTGTCAGGACCGCGTGACTTTGTGATTCGCCGCCCGCAGAATACGTTCGGCTGTGCATTTTCTGAACTACGCTAAGGTGTTTCCTCGCGGCAGCAACTGCGCTGTCGATCCCCAGCAGACCATTCCGGCGCCCTGAGCATCCGTACCGCCCTGGATGGTACGGATGCTTAGGGTGCTGGAGTGGTCTGCTTGGGATCAAGAGTTGTGGGACTAGAATGAGAAACGCCATGTTGAATGTGCGTTTCGCCATATGCTTCGGGAAGGGGTGACAGCCTCGTTGGTGGTGTGCAGGACACAGGCGACCCGGTATGGGAAGCAGTGCCTGCTGCGCTAGGTGCTGAGATGGCTGGGACGGACCGCCCGGCGGCGGACTTTGCGCAGATAGCCTTTCTGCATGGGTTCGTGAGATAGAGAAATCCCGTTGAAACACAGGATCCATGTATGCTGCCTGAGATTGCAGTGCTCTTGGGCGTGTGAGTAGACAGGTCTACACTGGACGATCATGTCGAGAGCGAGATGGCGATCATGTATGTAAGTCTATATATACATATGTGCATAACTGTTGCCACGGCACAAACTCACTTCCGAATCGGACTTAGATCTTAGGGTCATAAACTGAGAAAACATATGTTTTCTTCGCATTCGAGTCACATGCTCCTCGCATCGTTCGGGATGAGCGTTTCGTCTTCTCATCTCCTCTTTGAACATGACTTCTTATTTCGGCGGGCGACAGTATCCTGATATCATTTCACATAGATTCTCCTTAAGCCTTAAACTACACATGTGGGGTTCTCCGGTCCTTTGACTATAGGGATATTACCCAACTATTGCGGAATCAAATGGAACGTTAAATGGAAACAGTGACTACACAGGGGTTTGTATGGTGTATACTGAAAATCCCGCCGCATGACCCCAAAGTATCCTATACCTTGGGAAGTATGCCCCTGTAGTATCCCAATGTCATGCAGATGTTATAACATAAACAGTGGCTTCCATAGAGTTCCCATAAAAATTCCCACCCGACCAAGGAATTGTCTTGGAGTGGTAGAATCCCCTCCACCTGGGCTTAGGGTTGAGGGTCTAGGGCTACTATAAACACCCCCCTAATATTGAATATTCCCCCTCGTGGTATATTTACAATGCATTGGGAATATTTCATTAGGGCGGAGTGGGGGGGTTAAATATAGGGGAGTAGAATTCTCATATGGGAGACTACCCACCTGTAAACTACCCACCTGCAATTGGTGCTGATTCTATGGGCACTATAGTCATCCATTTCCCAATCCCTAGGTGTGCCTGGCGGCCAAACCCGAAATTGCACGTAGTTGTTTCCACTTTCTTTTCAATTCCCCCATCCCCTACAGACCGCCTGTAACTTCTACTTGGGCATGTCCCGCTTCCTGTAATTCTGCCTGCTATTGCTTGGGGTTTTTTGCTTGTGTAAATCGCCTTAAATCGCAGTTGTGGCAAGACTCGCACACACAACAAAGGACGTGCTGCCTCCCGACGCGGAGGCACCGTTCACGCTTTGAGGTTTGCGTTTTCGACTTGGCACAAGATGATCAACTAAGAATCGGCCTGGACTCTTGTTTCTGCTGACGTTATCTCCGTACATTCTTGGTAAAACCTAGCAGGGCTCTTGATGCTCCAATTGGCATTACCCATTGTTCTTTTGAAAGCAGAGAGGGGCACCGAATCTGCAGAGCTGACATGGGTCCCACCATTTGGCTTTTCATAGAACCTTGCAGGAGCATTTGCAAAAACAGTGACCTGGAATCTCTGCTGCAGAAAGTCAGCTTCCCATCAAACCGAAACATGGAGCCACGCAACCTTTGACCCCCATTCCTTCGGTCCTATCAGCCCACCTCTCAAAACAATGATGCATCGGTTTATTTAAGGGCTTGTACATTGGGATGGCTAATGTTACATGAAGAGCTGGGATTGAGGGAGCCAGTCGCGCGACTAATGCCCAGAACTAATTGTCCCAGACCCGCTTCATTGGGGCAATGTTCCGAGATGAGCCCTGAAATCCCTGTGGCTGTTTGTCAGTGCGTTGCAGTAAATGAAGGATCTACGGCGCTTAGGCCCTGTTTCCCCCAAATCATTGCGGGTCTTTGCTTTGGGATGTACTTCTGCAGTCCTTACGCCACAGCCATCCACAGTCTGCTGCCACTTTGGTCGGTGGCGCCTTCGCCACTGGGGCGGCAATCACATGATGTCTCTGGTTCCTCCAAATTGCAATGACCTGTGACCTGAACAGACATGCCCCAACCCTATGTGGGTTGCAAGGTTTAGGTTTAAGGCGGTGAAACGCCAGCTTTGGCATGACGAACAGGCTGGTAAAGTCATATGCTCATGAATCCTCTGATCTTTGTTCAAGGGATTATCCTCTGAGAAATGTCTATGGGCATGTCAATTGTGATTCCAGCAGCCACTTGGGAAAGTGTGTCCTTGTTTGGAATCTTCACTAACGATATTATATTTGTAGGGCCTCCCTCGTACTGACATGATGGCCAGTTCATATCTTCAAAAAAGCTGCCCTTGGATTTGTGACGACATCGCTGTTACCAAGATTTGGGGGACAATGATGCGATGGCCTCCAAGCAAGAATCCAATCTTGAGAATGTTGTTCGTTCAAATCGGACCCCTACACCCAAATCTTCAATTTCAAAGCTTTGGACCTGCGAACCCAAAGAGCCTCCTACTAACACCAACCGTGAACGCCCCCGGGTGCAGACCCGAGCATCTGGGACAGCATTTGGGTAGTCCTATCATAACTTCTGTCCGTGTAGCAATAATGTTCACGCCGCGGCGGGTGCCCCTTCCCGCCCCGTGGTCTGGGGGGTGACGTCGAGACTTCAAGTTGAGATTACGTTTGCCCTTTGGTCCTGTGGCCTGCGGTCTGGGTCTTTCAGTTGAGGCTCTGGTTTACAAGGAGTTTACTGTGTAGAGTGCTTGCAGAGGTGTATTACCCCCACCCACCCCTGTTCCTGTGGCCTGTGATCTGGGTCTTGTGTGTAAATTGGGTTTATGGAGGGTGTAGCAAGGGTTTGTAAGCAGTTCATACAATGGTTTACAGAAGGCTCATAGTTTTATAGGGACATGTCAAAAGATCAGGACCACGCTGACCTTTGTGACTGTGAGTAGTTCTGAAGCACGACAACAATACGGTCTCAACAGAGACAACACTTGCAAGGACCCAGATGAAGACCACCCCGATCCCTGTGACTGTTGGTATTCTGGAATGCCGCAAAAGCATGGAGGGCCAGAGATGATGGCAGTTGCACTAGTGGCCGCTTTGAAGTGTGAAAACGACGACAGTTACGAGGATACCAACGCTGAGGTCCCCATCTTTTTGGTTGTGGGCACTTTTGAAGCATACCACGGGGGTAGTGGGGGAGAGGGGGAACGCGTAACACTGGAGCCTGTGTAGCTTTGAGGCTTGAGGGCTTAGGGGCTTGAGAGGCTTTGGGGTGAAGGAACGGAAAGGTTGGGAGTTAGGGACGCAGGATCCAGGTTTACGCGGTTGTGGAATGCGGGATTCAGGGTTTGAGGAGCGCTGTCATCATGATGAGGTTCTTGCCCCAGGTATCACATTATCCGATGCTGAGTATGGGACATTATTCGCGTCTTTCTTGCTTCAGGCTTAAGGTCTGACAGAAGTTTCAGGACACGGGCTTGCATGTAGTGTAGGCTTTAGGGTTTGAGCTTTTGTGGGGGCAAGGCCTCGGAATTTTGTGTTCATTGTTGAAGCCAATGCCAAATGGCATCAAACGGTTTTAAGGAGCACATGCATGTTAAAAGTCCTCTCCACCTCAAGTCCGGAAACAGCTCTCCAAATAAGATCGAACCAGGCATACCGTGCCCAAAGTAGTCGCTGCCTATGCTTCCCTTGTGGGACGTAAGGCCTGTAATGGGACATTGGGGTTTATTTCAGGGCCCCAAATGTATGGACAACGTCAAATCGCTACCTATCGGCGCTACGGACCGATTCTAGGATAACCTGATACCGTATGACTCATACCCGTATGTATTTGCAGGTGCGCTACGAGGTCCTTTGCAACAGCCCTGCCCGCAGAAAAATAACTAATTCCCGAAAAAACAACCTAGCGCACACACTTTCGGAGCGTTGAGACTCGAATTCTTTGACAGGCTGCTCTGCGGATACAGCGCTTCTGGCGCACCTCGTTTGCAGATCAAAGGTGTTTAGCCAGATGAGAGACCGACAACCACCATGAAATCCCGCACCTTCAACGCAGAAAGAGCGGCGTTGGCTCCCACGACTGTCTTAGTGGTGTTAAGGGGAATGGGGAGTGGGTCCCCACACCATCTTCATGATTAACCTTTTCATGGTACAGCTGTTCAATCCCCACTCCCCGTAAGCGCAACGAAGTTGTTGGCTAAAGCCGCGCCTTGCTGTCTCCCTAGGGTTACATGTTTAGGGCTACTGCAGTTCGCGGACATTCCAATTTTACACTGTCGTTATGTTTGTTAAAGGGTTTAAGCAGCAGGGATCCATGACATGCCAGGTGCTTTTACATTCCACAAATCTTGCGGCTACCCAAGAAGGATCCACTTCTTTTTACTGAATGTTTCAGAAATCATGGTGCCTGCCACGTGGAAACAACGTGTACATTGTAGGGCTCTCTGAAATCATCTCGACAAAATGCCCAAAGCCGTTATACGCAAACGAGCTGGAGATGTTTTGCATTCCCAAGATCATAGACAGCCCTTCGTATTCAGGAAGTAGAGAAATTCAAGAAGTAGAGAGAGAGAGAGAGCTTCCTTAGG